GTTCTCCTGCTTTCTCCCGGTTTCTCCTGTATTCTCCTGCTTTCTCCTGTGTTCTCCTACTTTCTCCTGTGTTCTCCTGCTTTCTCCTGTATTCTCCTGCTTTCTCCTGTATTCTCCTGCTTTCTCCTGTATTGTCCTGTGTTCTCCTGGTTTCTCCTGTGTTCTCCTGGTTTCTCCTGTGTTCTCCTGGTTTCTCCTGTGTTCTCCTGGTTTCTCCTGTGTTCTCCTGGTTTCTCCTGCTTCCTCCTGCTTTCTCCTGTATTCTCCTGCTTTCTCCTGTGTTCTCCTACTTTCTACTGTATTCTCCTGGTTTCTCAAGTGTTCTCCTGCTTCCTCCTGCTTTCTTCTGCTTTCTCCTGTATTCTCCTGGTTTCTCCTGTGTTCTCCTACTTTCTCCTGTATTCTCCTGCTTTCTCCTGCCTCCTCCTGCTTTCTCCTGTATTCTCCTGGTTTCTCCTGTGTTCTCCTACTTTCTCCTGTGTTCTCCTACTTTCTCCTGTGTTCTCCTGTTTTCTCCTGTGTTCTCCTGCTTTCTCCTGGTTTCTCCTGGTTTCTCCTGTATTCTCCTGCTTTCTCCTGCTTTTTCCTGTGTTCTCCTGCTTTCTTCTGGTTTCTCCTGTATTCTCCTGCTTTCTCCTGGTTTCTCCTGCGTTCCACTGCTTTCTCCTGTATTCTCCTGTGTTCTCCTGCTTTCTCCCGTATTCTCTTGCTTTCTCCTACTTTCTCCTGTATTCTCCTGGTTTCTCCTGTGTTCTCCTGTATTCTCCTGTGTTCTCCTGCTTTCTCCTGTGTTCTCCTGGTTTCTCCTGCTTCCTCCTGCTTTCTCCTGTATTCTCCTGCTTTCTCCTGTGTTCTCCTACTTTCTCCTGTGTTCTCCTGCTTTCTCCTGTGTTCTCCTGCATTCTCCTGTATTCTCCTGCTTTCTCCTGTATTCTCCTGTGTTCTCCTGGTTTCTCCTGTGTTCTCCTGGTTTCTCCTGTGTTCTCCTGCTTTCTCCTGTGTTCTCCTACTTTCTCCTGTATTCTCCTGCTTTCTCCTGTATTCTCCTGCTTTCTCCTGTGTTCTCCTGCTTTCTCCTACTTTCTCCTGTGTTCTCCTACTTTCTCCCGTATTCTCCTGCTTTCTCCTGCTTTTTCCTGTGTTCTCCTGCTTTCTCCTGGTTTCTCCTGTATTCTCCTGGTTTCTCCTGCGTTCCACTGCTTTCTCCTGTATTCTCCTGTGTTCTCTTGCTTTCTCCTACTTTCTCCTGTATTCTCCTGGTTTCTCCTGTGTTCTCCTGTATTCTCCTGCTTTCTCCTGTGTTCTCCTGCTTTCTCCTGTGTTCTCCTGCTTTCTCCTGGTTTTTCCTGTATTCTCCTGCTTTCTCCTGTGTTCTCCTACTTTCTCCTGTGTTCTCCTGCTTTCTCCTGTGTTCTCCTGCTTTCTCCTACTTTCTCCTGTGTTCTCCTGTGTTCTCCTACTTCCTCCTGTGTTCTCTTGCATTCTCCTGCTTTCTCGTTTTTTTTACTTTATTCTGTTAAGTTATTACGTATTTGCAAGGTATTTGCATGTATAAGCACCTCATTTACATACTCGGGACAAAATAAATGGTCCCTTTACCCTAAATGCAGGCGCCCTCCCCACCTCGGCCGTCCAATTTGCCGGCAAATTTCTACTTTTTTAAAGGGTTTCGGGACCTAAAAACTAACACCAGAGGGAAAATAAACCACATACGTTATTTTTATGGTAAAAATCGCTAAAATGGACCAGGCATTTTTCTGCCGCGTTGCCGATTTTGAGATTCAGGACTTGCGGCCACCATGTGCTTTACGTCGATAGCGAATTTTCTGCGGTTTCGTAAACGTATCGGCTTTTTTGTTAAACTTATTTTCGGGGTCGAGGGCTTTGTTTTACAAACAAATCAGACAATAAGCGTTGTTTACACGGCTTCAAAACGCTAGCGGGGCGCCCGATGTTCCACCAATGACAGCGATTCTCTCGGTAGCGTCGTGCAAATGTTTTGGTTCAGCAATATGCAGGGGTCCACACAAAAATAAGTCTAGGGTCGGCGGTTTTTTTTAGGGTCGGTCGGGAAACAGGAAACACAACATTTATTTTCCTAGGCCCTATGTTATTGTTGTCCTTGTTTAGTAGTAATATCTTGCTAGATGCTGTCTGTTGGTGCTGGTTTACGCTTGGTTCAGTTCAACTTGTCTCTCTTGGTGCCTTGTGCTGATTCTGGAATTGTCTTGAGGAGAGCATCTATCTACTGAGGAACATGTTCTGGCCTAATTCTTTCTTTACAGGTCAATTGGGGGACACTGTAAATTGAACCCATTGGGTCAGCTAGCGTGAAGTTTTTGTGTTGCAACTTAATTAGTCCCATACATGAGCATGGTAACAACACAAAAAACCTTGTGTGCACCGATACACTGGCTCAAAATCCTTTTTTCTTTACTGGTGCAGGTAACATTGAAAATTACGTACACCAGACAAATTAGCTACACTATTAAAAGTTTTGGGAAAAATGAATCACACTAAAACTGTTCAAAAGCCACTGCTATTATTTCTTTTTAAGTTTTATACACCATATATTGAAACATGTCAAGTTCCATAACAAAGTCCATGGAACTTCAACCCATACCCATACCATTCTTTTTAGACTTGAATGTTAAAATCTAAACACACCAATGAGACTTTCTGGTATAACTATATTAAAGTAAAGGAATGTGTGAAACCCAACCATGAAGTCGTCAGTTACAAGGCGGCACCAAATTTCAATGGATTAAGGGCAGAAGACAACAGAAATTTTTGAACTTGTTTGGAGTTTGTGGTGATATAGGCACTTAGTGAGCAGAAGTTAGGGAATTGATACGTTCTGTTTAAATTATTTTGACTAAGATAGTCAGTCAAACTTGTGTACTAGTAAGGAAGCAAGGAAGTAGAGGTTCAGTCCTGGGCTTGGAGGTTCAACCACCCTACCTGTGTCCCATCCTCTGCAGTTTCTGCCAGCTCTCGACACATTAGGGTCATGCTATAGCTAGCCTGGATTCCAAACCCATAGCACACTGGACACAAAATATCACTGAGATATTTTGTGTCAGGTGTGCTATGGGTTCGGAACCCAGGCTAGCTTACGTAATAGCCTGGATGTTAGACCCAAGCACACTAGGCCCAAAGCATCCAGCCTCTAGGGTAACTAGTGGTGACATGCTGTACAGATTGTCGGGTCTCTTTTGCCTTTTTGGTCTTTTGGTCTTTTGCCCTCACAGTCATCCTGTGAACCAGGAGTATGAAGGGTCATCTACAGGTCACTTGTGTAAGTGATACAGCATGAAATCTAAATCTGCTGACAATATTCATATACATTTTATATTATAACAAGCAGGCTGAAAAAACTCAGTGTCCCTAGTCTTCCCCACAAATTCAAATTGATAAGGTCCTTTTTGTACCCATTTTAGTGGTAGGTCTATAGTCCAGGTACCAGTACACTACAGATGCCTGCCCTGACTCAGTCTATTGCCCTGTGTTTGGGGTCACTGGAGTAAAACTGATACTTTTGGGTCATCTTCCATGAAATCTCAATTTGCTGAAACAAAAAACACAGAGTCTTGTAAGATTTCTTTGGCCTGATATATATTCTAGATGAGAGTAAAATTTAAACTATATTGTCTATATATTTTTGGGAATCTGATGAGATCACGCTAAATATGACTGACACAAAGACTCTACTGAGTTTAGTACTGTGTAACAGGTCTCTAAACTCAGTAGATGAAGATGTTCCACCAAACTCCAAAAGTAGGTCAAGCAATATCAATCATCTGCCAGTGTCTAGATCATGTAAAAATATCTCCAGCATTTCTTGACCATAGAGTTGTCAAATGTACAACTGAAGGTAAACACATCATAATGGATTTGACAACAAGTACAATGTTTGTAACTGAGACAAGAATTTAGTAGTGCCCGTGGCAGAGTGAGACTGTGACATACAGACATGAAAGAAAATGTACTGGCTCAGTATAACTAACTTCAGTATTCATTTTTTACTGAAGTATACGTATATGATTATAAAGAATTTCTTGGTTTGACTTCGCCATCATAAGAGGCTGAAAGAAGCAGGCAATCTGAAACAGCTACCACATTCTGCCTGTGAAAATATGCAAATCTTGACTCCCAAGGGATCTTAATTTAACTTTTTGTAGTTTAAAACTTTAGAGGATAAAACAGATATGAAATGGAATTAAGTATCATAGTTATCCTAGAGTACAGAACCTTTTTTTGAGTGATTTTCAAATATGTTCAGTTATCACGCGCGCGTGAAAGAATCTGCTTGAAAACATCTGAAATTTAGGTTATATGTAAATATGTAATTACCAATTGTCTTACAATACAAAACCTGATGCTAGGAACAATCTCTTGTATTTGTGACATTTTTGAGTGGTTTGCAAGGTAACCTATTCCCATGGGACCTACAGAATCAGTAGATTTTAAAGCTAAGACCATGGCTAACAGATGGAAAATTATATCATGGGATCACATTTTGTTATCTTAGAATTTTGTACTGCATATTTTCTGACATAATTCAGGAAATTAATTTTTTCACGCGCAAATTTTTCATGCACAAATTTTTCACGCACAAATTTTTCACGCGCCGAAAACCCGTTCCCATCTTTTGTCTCCAATTTTCTATATACGTTTGTTACGTGTCTGTCATATCTTGACCTGTACCTAGCCCGTCGTGGCATGAATGTACAATAAAGGTATTTCAATTTCAATTATCATCAGAACAAGTCCATCGGTGTAAATTGTAGCCAGCTGCCGCCACGCCGCGTGCCCGTGAAGCTGGTGTGTTACAGCAAAAGGCGGTTATACTGGCTATACAGATACAGAAAAGCATATCCAGTTGCTTGAGTAACTGTTTTTGGCACAAAGAAACATCTGTTTCCAGAAAATTAACAACTTACTAGTAACTATAAATGATATATTTGAAAATTTATTTATTGTTTGCTTTGATGCTACAGGGTTTGGATGCAGACATGTTTGAAGAGATCCTGAGTTACATCTACTCGGGAACCCTCCACGTGTCTCTGGACAGAGTGCAGCCCCTGTACCAGGCAGCCGACCTCCTGCAGATGGACTATGTGAGAGACACCTGCACCAGCTACATGGCCATGAACGTGGAGCTCTCCACCAGCTCAGTCCGTCTTCGTTCCTACCAAGACGAGAGCTATCTGCGCGGGTTTCTTGGAGCTGTGGGCGACTTACAGAAGGAAGGGGCACTACAGGATGTCGTCCTTGAAGTCGAGGACCGGCGGTTTCCCTGCCATCGGCTTGTTCTGTCCGCGGCCAGCCACTACTTCAGAGCCATGTTTACAAGCGACATGGCGGAACGTCGCCAGAACACGGTTGTTTTACAGGTAAAATGTAGGGTTGGCAGAACGTTTAAAGTGTTACAACAAGACCACAAAACACCTTGCTTCATACAAGTGTCTTGATAAGATGTTTTTTGTCAAATGAATACAATCGGCTTTTTTTTTCAACCCTTGGTCAGACCGTTTCTTTCCTAGAACGATCGCAGATTGGAACTCGCTGTCACCAAGTACAATAGGGGTACATCATTATTATCATCAGAACAAGTCCATCGGTGTAAATTGTAGCCAGCTGCCGCCACGCCGCGTGCCCGTGAAGCTGGTGTGTTACGCCAAAGGGCGGTTATATTGGCTATACAGATACAGAAAATTAAAACATATCCAGTTGCTTGAGTAACTGTTTTTGGCACAAAGAAACATCTGTTTCCAGAAAATTAACAACTAGTAACTGTAAATGATATATTTGAAAATTTATTTATTGTTTGCTTTGATGCTACAGGGCTTGGATGCAGACATGTTTGAGGAGATCCTGAGTTACATCTACTCGGGAACCCTCCATGTGTCTCTGGACAGAGTGCAGCCCCTGTACCAGGCAGCCGACCTCCTACAGATGGACTATGTGAGAGACACCTGCAGCAGCTACATGGCCATGAACGTGGAGGGCTCCACCTGTGTGGACCTGTACAAGTTTGCTGATGTTTTCATGGTGGAAGTTGTTCTGAAGGCTTGTCTGGAGTATATATGTCAGCATTTTGTGGAGGTCGGTCTTCAATTACATTGTGATCTGAGGGACTTTTATAAAATAAATTTTCGTGCATGTCACTGCTCCTAGAGACATCTCATTGTCATTATTAGATAGCTTTAAACAGTGTCTAGAGTAAGGTGTTCAAGGGTTAGGTGTAACAAGTCGATCGGTGTAATGAAGCCAGCTGGTGGGTTACACCGAAAGGCGGTTATACCGGCTATACAGATCTCTCCAGGATATTCTATTTACAGCATATATAACTTCCAAATGACCCTGGAGACCCCACAAAGTGTGTTAAAGACTTGGTCATCCAGCCTGCTCCTAAACTACTGGTGTAAAACTTAATGAAGACACATATATATTTGAATTGCCAATTATTTTAAAGCATGTCACACCTCCACAGGTTTCCTCCAGTGAGGAGTTCAGCAGCCTGAGTGTGGATCAGCTGACTGAGATCATCAGCCAGGATAAGCTGGAGGTTAAAGAGGAGACAAGAGTGTGGGAGGCTGTGGTGAGATGGGTGCAGCACAGCAGGGAGGACAGGTGAGCAACACCAAAGGAAAACATATTGTTTTTGCTCAGTTTCTTCTTCTTCTCCAGTGACCTCTGACCTGGTCAATGACCTGAACCAGGCGGTCCCTCACCATGGTAACTGGTGTTGGATTTAGATTCCTGTCACCATATTTTTTTTTTCAAACTCTATTAATATTCACAATGTTACATTAAAAAGAGATACATAGTTGACATACACCATATATGTTGATGTGTTTGAATAAGAATCGACAGAGCAGACCATATGCGAAGTTGAACATTATGCATTTGTTTTGCAAATGTTACTTTTCTAGCTGTACAGGTATCTTTTAGTGATGAAGTTAGTTGATAATTACATAATATTACTGAAGAAACCTCATACTACTGATGACATGCACATGTTGATTTTGGAAGTTGTTTACTAGTCAAATGATTTGACATCCCAGTATTATTTGCAGTGATGTAAAAATATGACCCAAAACTCTGGCTTCACCTTGTTCCCTGCAGACTGCAGCATCTACCCAGCATCCTCCCTCACATCCGCTTCAACCTGCTGACCTCAGACGACACGGCAGCCATCTTGGAACATCCCCTGGTCAGGGAGGATCCTGGGAGTTCTGAGGTCATCAGGAATGTGGTACACACCAACCAGAAGCCGAGGCTTGCAATGACCACAGAAATGGTTCTGTTGCGTCATGAAGTGAAGTATGTATAATATTATACTTGTTCTTCTTCTTTGACTCTGTTTTCAAGTTTGAATTTCTCTTCAGCATTATCTTCCTAAATCCTAGAACCAACATTGTATGTCCTGATCATTGAATGTATTTTACCTTTTATTTACAGTGGTAAAAAGATGCTGTGGATGAACCCAGGAGAAGGGAAGTACATCAGGTGTGACTATGACCAACCAGTATGTCCATACAGGGGTGTGGTTACTTGTGATAATGAGATCTATGGCTTGGCTACAGATCCAGACAGCATCTATCTGTGTAAATACAACCATGTTGAGAACAAGTGGGAACAAAAGTCTACTGTGTGCAAAGGATGTGAAAAACCGGGACTTCGATACCAGGATATATCTAACCACCTGATGGAAGTCGATGGACATCTTTTTTACCTTGATGAAGGAGAGGTGGTATTGAAGAAATACAACCAGCATAAGAATGAGTGGCAAAACTGTTCAACACCTGATATTGGTGATGAGTTTTACTCCCTCTTCGCAGTGTCCTGCAATCAGCACATCTACCTCTTCACCAAGTTAGATTACTTAGATGACGCAGACGTACCAGAAATGCATTGGTACGACCCAAGGGAAGACCGGTGGTCCAAGAAATCCCTGTCAGTCTACAGTCCTAAAGTGGAACTAGACTTCGGTATGGCAGTTGCCATGGGAACAGAGATCTTTTGGATGGATCCTGGCTACTCCAACATGTTGGTGTATGATACAGAAGCAGACAGCTGGTCTGAACATCCAGTCCCAAGCTTTCTGGAGACCCATGGAGGGAATAATCCAGACATATTCTTTGTAGATGGATCTTTCTTTGTACTCGCAAACAAGCTGCATGCAATAGTCGATTATGATTCCCCGAAATGGGTCAAGCTAGAGCTATTTCAAGAGCTTTTCGTGTATGACAGGCCTGAAGGTGTTTGGAGAGAGTCTGAACTGCCTTTTGCGCGGCAGTGTTGCTACAAGTGTACAGACGTTGTGGCGCGGATGTACCTACCATATCTGAACACCAGCCATGCAGACACACAGGATGCAGCAAACCCAGAGGGACCAAGTGGAGAATAGTTTTGGTAGTGTACAACCCATCTAGCCTGGTTACCAAACCTATTATAGCTCCAGAGTCCTACAGCCTCTCCGCAGATAGCTGTAAGACTGGGGAGCTATAATAGGTTTGGTAACCAGGCTACAACCCATCAGAGAATGTGTTGGAACATGCCAGAATGTCATGAGACTTTGATGACTTGTCTGAGTTGATTTTATAATTCATTTCCATGAATTAGAGAATAGGCAGTTGAGTTGATGGTGGTGTAGACATGCTGAAAATGTAAAAGTCTGGTTAGTTACTATGTTGGAGCATGGCAGAAAAGACAACATTTGTGGTTGATAGCAGGAATATGTAAAGGCAGTGAGTTCCTAGAACTACCTAAAGAGTTGTGTTCTTAACTTCTTACATAAACAAAAATGTGAAGTTTTATGTTAAATGATGTAAAGCAAGATAGAGAGTGAGTGTGATGTTGTAATGGTTTACTTTGGAATAGATTTAGGGAGGGGGAACTGGGAAAAACAATGTGGATAGTTGAGACCTGAAAATGGTAGAATAAGGACTGCAGAATGGCAGCAATGACATATAAATGGTGTATATTTTGTGCCTACCTTGAGTACTGTAGTTCTGTAGTGAGAACTGGAAGACGTTCGTAGTCTGTCTGAACTTGACAAATGGAGATTGACGGGTGGCTGTGATGCCAGTGGGTACAAGTAAATGTAGTAGGTCACACCTGTACAGTAGGGAGAAGTTAGATACTAGTAAACAGAACTAAGGCCACACCAATTTAATTTGTTGGTTCTCGGATTCACCTCTTCGTTTTTTTCTGATTTGCAAAAAAAATAAAAATTTGATTCTGGTCCTGAATCAACTTAAAAATACTCATGTTTTGCCCCCCAACAGTTGAGGAAAGTCCTTTTCTTCCTAGTTGTTACAGTTTTCCCATCTATCATTGCAGTGGTTTGATTAAAAGTTCAAAATTCAATGTTTAAATTTTAACCCAGCCTTTTTGTGTTGACTTCATGGTTCATTTTT